TACGAATTTATTGTAGCAAATAAATATAAATAAACATCAAATAAAAATTATTCAATATTTATTTCACCCCCCTGTATGCTGAATTTATGGAAATATGAATGGTAATTTATATTGTCAAATTTTAAAGAAAAACCTATTAATAACTATTGCATAATATGAAATAGATAAAAAAAATATTATTTCACAGGATAATGATTCTAAATACATTACTCATAATGGTTTGAAGATAATAAGATTAAAGTTTTGATTGATCAGCATAATTTCTAATTTAAATCCTATAAAATACCTTTAAAATAAAATAAATTATTTTTAAGATAGCTTAAAATACCTGTTAGAACATAAGATCAGTTATAAGTTGCAATTAAGGTTACTTGTCTAAATTCATTTTGGCTTTGACAAAATATCTAAATTTAATTTTACTAATTTTTTACTAAGGTTTTATATACACTACCTGAAAATAAGTTTACGCAGTTTTGAAAAAATAGTTTTTTATCATTTTTTTAACAAAATATTAATATTTAGTTGACCAACCATTATTGGCAATACATGCTTCTATTCTTTGAGGCATACTATTAATTAATTTTAGGTAAGTTTCTCGCAGAATTTTTTTTCATTCTTTTTTTAATTGTACTTCTAAATCTGCAAGTTTTTTAGGCAGATCTGAATAGTTACGCAACAAACATTTAAGATGATCCTAAAGATACTCAATGGGATTCAAATCCGGAGATTGAGCAGGCCAGTTAATTAACATTTTAATTTTTTTTAGCAACCCATGCTTTAACATCATTAGCTGTGTGAATAGGTGCATTATCGTGCTGAAATTTGTAAGATCAATTACAAAACTTTGAATTAATAAATGGCAAGAGGTTATCATCTAAGATTTTTATATAATCATGCTAATTGATTATTTCTTCTATTTTCACTAAAGGACCTAATACCTTTGCCTGAAAAACATTCCTAAACTATGACTCCGCCACCACCATGTTTAATGGATAGATTCAGGTTTTTAATATTAAAATGAATGCTTGATTCATGCTAAACTCGAGAAGGACCATCATTACGAAAAAGAGTAAACTTTGATTCGTCGCTCTATATGACATTTCTCCATTGTTATATTGTCTAATTTTGTCTTTCTAAGCATTATTCTAGCTGTTTTTAGCGTTGATTTTCATTTAAAAATGTTTTTTGCAGCTTAATAAGAATTGTATCCAATTTGATGCAAATTCTTCCAAATTGTTTTGGTACAAATATCTTGACCAGTTATTGCTGAAAATTTCTTTTGTATTATATCAGCTGAAGCTTTATTATCTTTTTTAACAATTTTTTTTAAAATTTTACGATCTTTATCATCAAGTAACAGAGGCTGACCACTTCTTTTTTGCTTAACATATCATCTGAATCTCTATATTGTTGAATTATTGTTCTAACTGTGGACTCTGGTCGATTCATAATTCTAACAATATCAGACTTTCTGTAGCCACTTTTATATAGTCCGATTATTTGTGCTCGTTCAATAATGGTAAGTTCAGGATTTTTACCCATTTTGTTAAAAATAAATTGTTAGATTAATTATCATTACGTTATATTTATTTATGTTTTTAATTATTTTTATTTTGTATGTATTATAGGACTTTCAATTAGTATCAAAATCAATTGATTTTATTATATACAATTTTGAATAAAATTCAAAAAACTGACTGTGCAAACTTATTTCTAAGTAGTGTATATATTTCTTATAGGGGTATTCTTATTCTTATGCAAATATTTATCATCGACTCTGGCAAAATCATAAATCACCAAACTTGAAAAAATGGTATTGATGATAAATAATGAATTATCTGACCATGAATAGACAGGAATTTAGCGTAATATATCAATTGGCAATTACTCAATATTGAGAAAGTTTTCTTGCGGGAAATGTTATTTTACATAGTCTGTGCGGGTGAAAGAGATATAATTAGTCAAAAATTCTATAGATATGTACTAGATTAATTTATTTCAGAAGTCTAGTGTTGTTAAAGAGTATGAGACAGAGAAACAAATTAGCTATAAATTTTTTCAAAAACTTTATATAAAAAAAATAAGAATTATGACCAACTGATTTGTACGATAATAGATTCTTACATATACCCTCAAATTCTTTTTCTTTTTTCTGAAATTATACATCATCGACTCTCAATATATTTTTTTCAAATCGAAATGTCTACAAGTACTACTACTGCTAATCTCTCATTCGAAACAGTTGATAGTTGGAGTGTAGAAGAAGTTAGAAATTTTCTGAAGTCCAAGTAAAATAAATTCTCTCTTACCAATGATGAAATTGAAAAATTCAAAAATAATAATGTTAATGACAGTGTGTTCCTTTTGCTTACTGAACAGAGGCTTTTTAATTTTATTTTTTTTTGGCCAGCTATAAACATTGCAGAGTTCGTCTCTCAATTGAACAACCAAAATAAGTTCTGTTATATACTGTAATAGTTTAACGTTTGTATGCCTCACGTGTTCAAAAAATATAGTATTTATTACTCATTCCTATAATTTGTCTATATGTTATATAATTATATAATACCACATACTTACTTAATCTTATGCTTTCCTTTCCTGCTTTTTATCGTCAAACTAGTTCAAAAAACACTTTCACGTTTTTGTAGAATAGAGTAAGTATCACAACTTCATTTGAATATTCCAAATCTACACTGCTTGAGATCAGATCTGTTTTTAATATAGTTTATACAAAAAGTTCTCTTCCTTGTAGTAGGCACTTCAAACCCACCTACTGAACTTGTATCTATTTTTGTGAACAACTCCAACTTATTTATCGAAGGAACGTTTACTGTTAGTCGTCTTGAGCAAGCAGACACCTTTAATCATATGAGAAATTCCTACAAGCTCCACCAGCTCAACCTTGATTATAGTCATTTTCTATCAATTGTACTAAATGAATGAACAATAGGCAGTGATCCAGTGATTATTAGCTCTCAGTCACCTTTGAACAATACACTATAGAATTGCTTTTAAAATAAAGGTTTTAAGATGGTCGTTTATAATAAAAATATTGAAAATAAAGAAAAGAAAGTAGATATGAAATTCAGAGTTTCTATAGTAGATACCATTCATTTATTGGTTAATTGAAAAAACTTTTTTAAGTCTGACAAGATTAAATAGCCATTATTAATTCTAGTTATTGACTTTACTTTTCCTAGGATCCTGGTATACTTCTTTTAATTTCTAGCAATGATGATTATTTGCCTGCAATACTTTAGGCTCAAAAACATAAGTAGAAGGTTGAAACATGGTTTTGGCGATCAGGTATAAAAAAATATTGCTTTGTTTGTATTTAAAATCAAATAAGCTATTTAAGTGAAATTCTATTTCTATAGCAATGTCTAGTGATCTTATGAAAGAGTTGTCACTTTTTCATTTTCTGGATAATTACTATATATATTTTACATATATATACAGACAAAATCCCATCGAAAAAAATTATTCTCTTGAAATAACTGACGGTGAAATAATTAAAAAATGAACGAGTAATGAAGTAATAAATTATTTTGCTTCATTACAATTATTTGAATGGTGATATAGAAAAGACAAATATACTATATTCTTGTACTTCAATAGCAAAGCGAATTTAGGAAAGGTAAAAAATTGGATGGTGGCTAAATATCCTAATGTACAGGTTTGGGAAGTAAAAAAAATGAAAAGAAAAAGTTGTGCAGATCTATGATGTAGTTTGATAGCTTTACATTTACCAGTATAATACACAGTATCTACTAGAGAATACTTATCAAAGTTTACAAATGATTGTAATATAACGATTTCTTAGCATTGACATTATTTTTATTTTGCATGTAGTAGAATAAATATTACGACTTCATCTATTCAACCACCATCTTATAATGTCACTACTGGCAATCAATAATCATCAAATAGTGTGAACGATAGTAATATTGTGAGACAATGAGAATAGTTACCATATGTAACATATGCTTCTAGAATATGCTAACATCCAAAAAATTTTGAGCAGTTAAAATGATCAACAAAAATTTAATAAAATCAAAATTTCTGATAGTCTGATGTATAATGCAATCTCAGATATTACACAAATATGATCTATATGATTTGCGCAGTTCAATCAATACATATCGGTTAAATTAGACTCAAATTCTATTTTAGTTAAATTATCTCGCACATCTAAGTTCACTTTAGTGAATGAACCTATATAAATATGTATGCATGCTTCTACAGTCTCTTTGGCATAAAAAATGAATCTGATATTTTATTATAATATACTTAATACAATTTACTATAAATCGCTAAAATCACTAAAAATGCTATAAATTGCTATAAACCTTCTACACCTATAAAATAGTCTATTCTAGTTTAAATCTTGTAGTAATGCAAGCATTAAACAATCTTTAATATAAGTATAATAATGAAACACCTGAAATGTGATGTTCTGGTATTAGTTATTCATTTAAGAAACTTCTTGAATATAATTCAAAATACTTCTCTAAGAATGGATTTATTCAAATAATTGAAAGATCATATAAAGATGGGGAATTTAAAGCTGGAAGACGCTCATTTCATATTTATTGCATTGTATGCAACTCCTTAGTAATTATCCATGAAAATACTATTGAATGTGATAATGATCATCTGAAGAAATGTATTACTAAAATCGCTTCTAATTCTATATGAAAAAATATAAAAAAGGAGTTAAAAGAGTGTATTATTGCTCAGTTCTGATGAGGTTGATGGGATTTTTATAAATTATTCTATATATCTACCACATGATTATCATATACATAATATGGATTATAAATTTAGGAAGAGAATTGCTTATTTCATATTTAACAGTATAAAAGTCATCTAACGAGCTTGGAGAGCTTTCAAGTTGAGATCTGAAATATAGACAAAACAAGTTTAGAATATGGTGAGAAATGATAATACTTCTGATGAAAAGAAGTTTTTAGATATAACTTCTCGCAAAATAAAAGTTTCTAATGATTAATATATATACTATATATGAGATCTCAGTTATCTTTTGGTGGAAATTAATTATAAAGATAGAATTCAAGCTAAAGATATGCTTGCATATTATCAGAATCATCTTATATTATATGATCATTATTCTTTACAAAGTTAGGCAGAAAAAAAAAAGATCAGTTACATGAATGATTAAATCTTGTAGCATATATAGTTATTTTTATAGAATTATATCAGTAAGGCTATAGAATCGTTAAATATGGTTATTAGTCTTATATATTAAAATGGTCATTAAATCCTGAATATTATATTGATAAATACCTCAATAATGGTAATGAAAACTTTGTTAGAAGTTCAGAATATGCATGATATAAGTGTAAATTGACAGGCAAACATTATCAATATAATTTACTAGATATTAACTATTATAAAACTGAAAATGTTAGTATCAATAGAGAGTATACTGTTATCTTACGATACTAACGATTGAAAAATTAGTATTAACGCAAGATTAACAAGGGGATTCAGCTTTAGGAAGAGCTCTGAAGGGTTTATAAATGACTATCACTTTACATGATAATGTATGTTTAGAATAGACTTGAGGATTTTATTAAGAATAAAGGATTCGATACAATTATATTTGTTAGCATATAATTGTTATTAGGATTTATCTTGTTGGTGATAAAAACTAATTGAATCCTAAGTGTTTTACAAAATTATTATTGACTACTTGTCTATTGATGTCTAAAGTTATCTTGTTTTAATCAAGTCCTAAAGCTATCCTATTTATACTAAATTTGATAATATAAATAAATAAAATACCAACTGATTATAAATAATAAATAATTAATAATGATTAATAATATAAAATAATTAATAATATAACAGAATTTTCCGGCGCTTTCTGGGTCTCTCGCGTAACCTTCGTTTAATTCATTTCTTTCATCTTCTCTATCTTCGTCGTCTAACGTGACGCAGCCCATGTGACTTCTGGTCACATATATCACATGATCTTTTAGATTAATATCTTCTTATAACCATATCCCCCCTTTTAAGAATAAACTCCAGTGAAATTCCTAAAATATTTGTCATTATGAAATTCTTTATTTATAGATTTTTAAATAACAAATTTTCTAAAATATTCTATTTCATTCCAAATTATTCTATGGGGTTGTAATTTTGTCGATCGGTCGCGTGATAGGATTGCAAATTTTGTTGATTGATTACGTGATTTCACATGATGATCATCAACAAATAATTATCCAATAATTATTTATTTATGTCATACCAAAAAGGAAATTCTCACAATCTTGAAAATTTTCAAGAGTTTGACACAACCACTTTCTTTGTTTATAAATATTCATTAAAATTTTCTTCCATTTTCTCCAAAATTTTGCTTTTCTACCAAAATTATTGTAAAATCCTAAACTTTTCAGAATATTTTTAAACTTTCATCATGGTTCGAGTAAATAAAAAGAAAAAGTCTCCTGCTACTCGTCGCAGAGTTAGAGCTTGTCAAAGAGAATATTTCAGCGAGAAAGTTTACCAAGGTGAGCCTGGGTATATTTAAGAATGGTGCAGACACGACGGCTGTTAAATAGAACGCATTTCGTACTGACTATGTCCAGCTCGATTGATATATGCACCCCATCTAACGTCTGAGGACTATGACAGTATATTCGATCTCACTTAATATGACTGCAGCATATTAACTTTTTAGCCCTCTTGAAAAAAAAAAATAGAAAATACGAAAACAGTCCAAGAAGAGACTCCTTTGGAAGAAAATCCTGAAGACACTGATTTGAAATTTCGATATAATTTGCTTTCTGCTGACCATAAACATTTAAAAAAATTACTAACTCAATATTCTTCTCTCTTATTTCAAGAACGTGATATAAATGAAAAACTTGAAGGAACAATCTGAGGACTTGAAGATGATATTAAATTTGTTCGTTCCTTATTGAAGAATTCGGTGATGGATTCTGAACAATTACGCTGACGCATCAAGTTTCTTTGCGACCAGTTGATTGAAAATAGAGAACTTTATAATTTCAATGTAGAACTTGAACCTTCTTGTGATGAACCTACAGGCAATGAATCCTCTCAGTTTCTTTAAATTTTCTTTTTGTTATGCTTTTTCTAAATTTTCCTGAATTTCATGTATTTTCTTTTCAAATTTTACCAATAAAATTCTGCATATTATTGCGTTTTTGTCCTTTAACTATAAAATTTCCAATAAAATAATAATATTTTTTTTTTTTTTTTTTTTTTTTTTTTTGAAAGTCACATGACATTAACTTCTAAATTTTGATTTTAATAATTTTCTATTTCAAGGTTAGGTCTTTTTAATACAGAGTTCCATTGGATTAACTCATTAAGTTCGTCTATTTTAAGTCTTTTCACCATTCGAATATTGACATGTTGTGTTCTCATGATTTGTTCAACGTTGTCCTCAAAGATAAGAAATAATCATTTTGCTGCAGTATAATAATACTTTGATAGTTTTGAATCTTTTTACGAAATATTTTCTTTGTCGATTATTTCTCCTATATAATAAAGATAAATCAAAGATTCTTTTCTCTTTCTTGTAATTATTTGTCGTCGTGTATATCAAAATAATATTTTTATCTTCATGTTTAAATCTTGGGTGGACATATTAGGCAATAGTAGCAATATTACAGTAGGTGGACTAAATTCTAATAAATCAAAATATATCCGTTAATATTCTTGTGACATCTTTTCTATGTTATTATTTTTAATGAAACTAAGTCTATTTATATCATAATTATTGATCGTCAAAAGTATACTAAAATCAGTATCTCATTTAGGTAATAATTATCATTGGTTCCATTTCATGTTCGTTATATTTCTTCAATCGATCACCATGTACAGTTCCTTTAACTATTCGTCCATCTAGTGACCTTAATTTATAATTATT